AGCTGTAGCCTAGGCAGCTATTGTGAGTGTGAGAGTGGTCGGGGGTGTATGTGTGTGGTCAGAGTGTGTGTGTGAGACTGGTGTGTCTGTGTCATTAGTGTGTGTGTCTGGGGAGTTATATGGTCAATGTGTGTGTGTGTGTTCGGGGTGTGTGTGGGCAGCAGGTGTGTGTGGTCAGTGGGTGTGTGTGTGTGGTCAGGATGTGTGTGTGTGTGGTTGGGGTGTATGTGTGTGTGGTCAGGATATGTGTGTGTGTGGTTGGCATGCATGTCTGTGGTTGGGGTACGTGTCTGGTTGCAGTGTGTGTGTGCTTGCGGTGTATATGTGGTCAGGGTGCTGTGTGTCTGGGTGTATGGTCAGTGTGTGTGTAGAGGCCAGACGTCAGCTGCAGTGAACTGTTTGTCTCTTCCCCAGCCATGGGATTCCAAGCACATGCTACCACATCTGGCCTTTTATGGAGGGTACAGGGGATTGAACTCAAATCCTAATGTTTGTACAGCAAGTACCATCTCTCCAGCATAGCAGCCAGCAGTCAGTACTTCTAACACAATGAACATTTATTTGTCTGGGTGGAAATTACGGTTTCCTTCAGCAGGAGCTGTTGTTTAGTGGGAGCTGTAGTCTTCCTATAGGATGAGACTGGGAATCTGCTTTGGGAAGCAGCCCAGTGGCCCTTCTTCCATCCCTTACATCTTAAGGCCTTGGGCACTCATTGCCCCAGAAGAGGGAGGTAAGAAATTTTTCACAATGTGGCTGTCCCTCACACGCACCCCATCACCTCCACACACCCGGAAAGAGCTGAACTCTGACACAGTCAGCCCTCTGGAAGCTGAGCCGTGGTCCCCTTGGCCAAGAGCAACCTGGTCCTTGAGGCAGTCCTTCAGAGATCATTGTTGCCCTGTGAAAGAATCTTTACCAGTTCTTGTTTATTCCCTTTTTGTGGGCATTCAGCAAACAGTAAGTTTCATTTAATAGCACTGGGGCTGAGGACCAGGGGCCCTTGCGGTGACTCCGGCCCTGGGCTTTGGTGAGAGTGTGCTGTGTGGCACAGAGTAAACCATCCCTACTTTAAATGTTCTGTCCTTTAGCTCTAGAATAAGACTCAGTCTCGCATGCCGCTGGCTCTCTCATTTTCCTGTGTTCGTTCAGGTGCTGGAATACTACAGCTGGCTTGTTTGTCCCCGGTAGTAGTATTATTATTTTCCCTGCAGCATTTTAAACAAATGATGTGAACCTAAGAAATCTGACTTCCAAATCATACTGTTTCTCTCCAAGAACTAAGCCCATGAAATCAGGGGTGGCTTTGTCTGTGACTCTTACTCTTTCCACAAGAGCTGGGGCAATTTCCAAATGTCCTTTGCATTTTAATCTGCATTGCTAACTTCTTGGCTGGGTGTAGGCTAAATGTTAACATGAAGGAAATTCTAGTAAATCTGATACTGAAGCCCCGGCACCCCCTTCGTCCTTCTTCCTAGACATCCAGGGAACATGCACATTAGTGTACACACACACACACACACACACACACACACACACACACGTATGCACACATTTGCATATACCCCAGACAATGAAGGCTGTTACAAGGAATTTGGAAATCAATTGACTGGTTCTTAGGACTTTTCTTATTGTGCCCCATTGCTTTGATTTGGGGAGATGGAAAATGAGCTCGTGGGCCATTTTAAATCAACACGGTCAACAACACTGAGATCCAAGTTCTTAACTAAGGCTCATCTTGTTTGAGTACCGAGTCCCACGCTCTGTGCTAAGCATTGTGATTAGTGCTCTTGCTGTACTGACACTTTAGCTCCGAACCCAATGACGTACACAGTACCATTTCTGTTTCATGGGGGCAAAAGCCAAGGCAGGCCTCCAGGCTTAGCAACTTTTCCAAGTTCACCATGCTAATAGCAGAACTGGATGTGGCCCAGAGATCAGCCACACTCATGGCTGTCTTGTGCTTCTGCAAGACCAAGATGGTATCATGGGAGGGGGGAAAATATTTAGAGTAAAGGGGCCACGTGCAAGGGCCAGCCTTATATCAGACTATGAATTTGAGAAAGTAATTTGAGCTGTTAAATTTCTCCTCTGTGTTTTATGCCTATAGAACCTCACCGGGATTAAGAATTTCTCCTACGATAACAAACAGGAAGGCATTTTTCAAACTGATGCCCGAGAGAGCGTGATTGCCACAGGAGAAGTCCCGTGAGCCTGTGTGTTACGGCTCCTACTCGCTTTCCTTCTGACTGAAATGTAACAACAGACAAAAGCCCAGGATAGCACAGCTCATGAGCCTCGGGGGTTGGGCTTCACATCACAGGGCAGAATTCCAGCAGCCGTGAATCTAGGGTCAGGCTGTGCGCACTGAGGGGCGAGGCGTGTGTGTCGTACTGTGCAGGACATAAACAAGGCAGGCAGTGTACCTTTCCAGGACAGAGGAGGGAAAGGACGCTCAGTGCCTCCTTGTGTTTATAGAGCAGTAATTCTTCCTGAGCTCTGCTCACACCACGCCGTGTTCACAGTCTCTGGAGAGAGTGGTCACATGGGCCAAGATGTCAGTGCAGCTTAAACTACAGGAGCACAGGCATTTGCTTTATGATTTGTGAGGTTTTCTGCTTGGGTTTTTAAAAACTCTTTTATTAAGTTTTATTCTATGACAATTTCAGGCATATAGATTGCTTTGATTACTCTCCCCTCATCTTCCTCCCACCCGTTACTCCCCCCCCTTCCTCCCTACAAATGCCTTTCCCACTTTCAAGTCTCTGTTTTGTGGCTACTGTGTGTTGTAACCAGGGCTGTCTGTGTGACCATGGGTTTAGAGCTATTCCTTGACGCCTGTGGCTTCATTAGTGGGTACACAACGGAAGGTAATGCTCGCTCCCCCACTGGACCCGTCAGGAGCCCATAGATCAGCAGGGACGACCGGGGCCATTGGGACTCCTCATCTGTTTCCGGTTGAGTGTTGACTGGTGTCATCTTCGGCAGGCCCTTTGCGTGGCCAGGCGCTGTGAGAGTGTGATTGCAATGGCTGTGCCGTGTGCAGGACGGCATTTCTCAGCCCACCTCCATCTCCGGCTCTTACATCCTTCCTACTCTGCCTTCCGGATTGTTCCCTGAGCTGTGTGGGACCGAGTACCTTCCCAGTCGTGTGTGTGTGTGTGTGTGTGTGTGTGTGTGTGTGTAATCCCCTCCACCCTTTGTGAAGAGGTTCCGCTGATTAGGAGGGAGAGGATAGTAACACCTGTCTACTGTAAACACTAGTCTTCAAGGGTGGGTACTGCACAAACACAAATGTTAAAAAGGCACACGCCTGACGAGGAGTTAATTCCCAAAATATAGGAGCAACTCAAACAACTTCAGTAAGACAAACTACTGGCTAAATTTAAAATAGGGCTAAGTGCTTGAAATGTCGTTTTCTCAAAAAAAAAAAAAAAAAAGTGCAAAGTGGCCAACAGGTGCCTGAAAAACTGTCCATTGTCACTGATAATCAGGGGAATGCAAATCGAAATCACCTCAAGAAATTGCCTTACAACTGTCAGGATGTCAAGTATTTGTGTGTGTGTGTAAACCAGGTGTGTGCGGTCTGTAACCCCAGTTACGGGGGACATCAAGGCAGGAGTATTTTAAGTCCAAGGCCAGCCTTAGCAGCACAGAGAGATCCCTCTCTGGAAAAGAAACATTACAGATGTTGGCCGGGGCCTGGAAGAACTTGGAGAAACAGAAACACTTGGCGCACCTGTGATAGCCATACAGATGGTGCGGCTACCACGGAAACCAGTGTAGAGGCTCCTTGTAAAGTCAGGACTAGAACGACTGTCCAGTCTAGAAATCCCACTGACGGCATGTACCCAGAGCCATTGACAGCAGACCTGAAAATCCATCCATGTCGCTCCTCCGGCAGAAAACACTCTTCTCAGACAGAGAGATGGCTCAGCATCTCACTGTTACTGCGTGCTTTAACTTTTTATTTATTTCTTGAGCATGTCACACATTTTCATCATGTCTCCTCCCAGAGCTTCCTTGCTCTCTACCCACCTAACTAAATGTTCTTTACCTCTTTTAAAAAAAATGAAAGGACAAACAGAAAGCCACTAAAAATATGTAATCCGGTTTGTGCTGTCCCAGAAGCTCTGGAGCAGGGGCACCCGGAGTGTGTCGCTGCCTTGGCGGAAACTGTCCCCCTCCCGCTCCTTACAGGTAGTTCTGAATCATTTCTTATGTAGGGTAGGACTTTGTGCCCACTGCCCCTCCTTTGTGCTGGGGATTTCTTTCTGGCTTGTGCAGGCCTTGTGTGTCACAGTCTGGGAGTTCATATATGAACCCGTATGCTCTGTTGTGTCTGGAAAATGCTGTTTCCTTAAACTCATGTGCGACCCATATCGCTCTTACTTTCTGCCCCCTCGTCTGTCTTCACAGACCCCAAGTCATGGATGGAGGGGTGTGATAGGACACCCCTAAGGCTCATCATCCGGCTGTGGGTGATGTACTGGTCTATGGTGAGAGCTGTGTCTGTCATGAGGAATCATTTCTCGTCGTGTTCCTTAGGCAAACTACAGTGGGACATTTCCACAGGGCCTGTGACCTGCATAGCCTCAGCAATCTCTCTGTGAGCTATAATAACAGCCTGCTTGTAAGATATGCCCACTGATACAGGAGTGGCAAGAACATCAGGGGAATGCCAAGCCACGCTGTAAATAATTTGGCCTTAAGGAGATGGAACCATACCTGATGTTGTTAATGAGGCCAAGAACCTGAGGCTATGGGCACTTCTTGCATTTCAGAGGACCCAAGTTTGATCCCCAACACCTGTGTTGGATGGTAATCATATGTTTGCAATTCCAGCCCTAGAGGGACACGACGCCCTCTTCTGGCATCTGCAGGCAACTGCACTCACACACATATGCCCACATAAACACACACACACACACACACACACACACACACACACACACACCTAAAAATAAAATAAATCTTAGAAAAGAAAACAGAATTCATCTTAGTTATTTTTACTACATTGTTTTATTCTGGAATATTCTATATAAAGATGTTTAATAAGGGAGAAATAAATTCTAAATGAAAAAGGTATATCTGCTGCTAGTTACGTCAGCTGATCCCTGCAAAAGGGACAACTTGAGATCAAGTTAACACTGGAAAAGTTGAGATCTTATCATTGGGAAAACAACAGCATGAATATTCATATTGTACATAACAGACTTCATTGATGCATGATTAATAAACTCAGGGAATTTGGGGTTCAACCTGAAGATCCAAAAGCAAAACAGTCAGACACTGGCTCTTACCTCAACTTCAGTTCGAAATGGCGATCCTGCCTCCAGGAATCTCAGAATGAGACTGCGTGTGAGAGCTGTCTCCTCACATCTTATAATCCTCTCAAGTTCTGGAATTAAAGGCGTCTACCACTGTGATTAAAGGCATGTACTACCTGGTTTCTATGGCAAACTAGTGTGACTACTGGGATTAAAGGTGTGTGTCACCACTGCCTGGTCGGTAAGGCTGGTCAGTGGGGCTGTTTTACTCTCTGATCTTCATGTAAGCTTTTCATTTAAATACAATGGTTTTTAAACTTTTCACCAAAGGCAAATGTCTTAGGGTTTCTATTGCTGTGAAGAGACACCATGACCACAGCAACTCTTATAAAGGAAAGCATTTTAATTGGAGTGGCTTACAGTTTCAGAGGTTTAGTCCATTATCACGGTGGGACATGGCGGTGTGCAGGCAGACATGGTGCTGGAGAAGGAGCTGAGAGTTCTACATCTTGATCCACAGGCAACAGGAAGTGGTTTGTGTCACTGGGTGTAGATTGAGCATAGGAGACCTCAAAGCCCTGACAATCACACACTTCCTCCACAAGGCCACACCCACTCCAATAAGGCAACACCCCCTGTTTTAGGGGGGGGGAGGGTTATTGCTGTGAAGAGACACCATGACCACACAACTCTTATTGGGGTGCCTTGCAGTTTCAGAGGTTCAGTCCATTACCACCGTGATGGAGACAAAGCAGCCTGCGGGCAGGCGTGGGTGCTGGGGCTGAGAGCACTACACCTTGCAGGCAGTAGGAAGTCAATGGAGAGTCACACTGAGGGAAGCTTGGGCAAAAGAGACCCCAAAGCCCCCCTCCACGTTAACATACCACTCCAAAGCCACACGACTCCAACAAGGTCACACTTCCTAATAGCATCACTCCCTATGAGATTATGGGGCCAATTACACCCAAACCACCACACCTCCTAATAGTGCCACTCCCTTTGGGGACCATTTTCTTCCAAACCACCCCGGCAAAGGAGATTTTTATAAGACTTGAGATCCCAGTTGGGGGATTGGGAACAATAAAGCCTACACTTGTATCGTGACTTCTGTTTCTGAGGGATTGCTCAGAGGTTTGACTCTTGATAAGACCCACTATCGTGGCTCCTCATCACCAACCCTGTCCCTTACCAGTTATCTTGACGGTCCCAGTGACTGCTTACATGTGGTGTGTGGGAGCATGTGTAGTGAACATGTAACAGTCCAGGAAACACACGTGCTACTGGTGAAGTTTTTGGGGCAGTGTGGCAGGAAGACGGATGGAAAGCCTTCATGAGGATGTGGAAGCTGCATTAGGCCTGTCTGGAGGCTTTGGCAGCTGGAATTCCTACTCAAATGGAGTTAAGGAAACTTATTTCAGAGAGCAAGAAACGCAAAGCCAGGTGGGCTCCAGGTGTGATCCAACGGGGCTTCATTCTCACCCATTCTCACAATCACCTTGCCCAGCCTTCTTTCTCTCTCAAAAGCAAGAGACTCCCCCACAACCGTGCCCACACGTGACAATCAAGGGAAGAATCGTCTGCCTGTTCTTGGTTCTCCTTAGGAGCAAGAAAGTCTCCCAGACCCCTAACCCCCCCCCCCCCCCCCCCCCCCCCCGTCAAACCCCCACTTCTCACTGCCCAGAATCGGGTCACATTCCTGTTCCTAAGACTCCCATGATCAGCCTAAGAGGAACATAGCCTTGAAGCTGAGTAAGCAGCCTGAGTTCATCACTGGGGAAAGAGGGAGAACAGAGCAATTAAGGTTCTGTGAGGAAGAACAACAACCTAGTTCAGCTCACCTCTTGTGGCTTCTGTGCACGGCCACGGGCTCTGTCCTCCAGAAGTGGCTCTGTGCTCCAGAGACAGCTCCGTGCTCCAGAGAGAGGCTCCATGCGCCAGAGAGAGATGGCTCCTTCCTCCAGAGATGGCTCCATCCTCCAGAGAGAGACGGCTCCGTGCTCCAGAGAGAGACGGCTCCATGCTCCAGAGAGAGACAGCTCACTCCTCCAGAGATGGCTCCATCCTCCAGAGAGAGACGGCTCCGTGCTCCAGAGAGAGACGGCTCCATGCTCCAGAGAGAGACAGCTCTCTCCTCCAGAGATGGCTCCATCCTCCAGAGAGAGACGGCTCCGTGCTCCAGAGAGAGACGGCTCCATGCTCCAGAGAGAGACAGCTCTCTCCTCCAGAGATGGCTCCATCCTCCAGAGATGGCTCTGTCCCCCAGAGAGAGATGGCTCCATCCTCCAGAGAGAGATGGCTCCATCCTCTAGAGATGGCACTACTTAGTTTATTCTGCATTCTTCTATCATTCTTCACCCAAATCATCACTTTTCTTGAACCTTATGCTGTGATTTTGTTTCTCTTCTTTTTTTCTTAGCAGAAGCCACAATAGGAACCCTGCTATAGAAAGCCCTGAGTGCTATCAAAGGAGCAGGACCATATAAGGTGTCAGGGACCTTTTTATTTTAAATAAGAAACAAAACTATTTATACTTTTACAAGGACTCTGCCCTATTTTAGTAAATACTTGGCAAGGTTTCCTGATTAAAAGAGCAAACTGACCCTTGCTCTGCATGGCTGTTTCACCATAACTAAAGTCGTTCATTAATTTTCTGAAAATAGAAGCAGCGAATGTGTGTTCCTTCACAATGTGCCTGAACTAAGGCTTGCTGGGACTTCACTTATGCAGAGGCATAATGGACCAGGTGTCTTAGAGACAAACCTGGGTCCCAGGCAGACCCCAAGGTGGTCGCAGTTACCAAACAGATTACTTAGACAACAAGCTTTAGTGGACAGAGCGAAGACGCCTCCCTGTGACCCACAAGACGGTGGTTTGTCTGACAGTGGATTTCAAAATGAATCGAGATGTCTTGGATTTGCTAATAAGCCCCAAATGTTTTGACAAACAGCAATTCCCTGGATTACTAAGCCAGCACATTCTGAGGGCAGCTCCTTGAGTGCTGTATGGTTTTGATTTGCTGGCAGTGAACTTATCCTGTGGTCCCGGGCTTGTAGGAAACTCTTCTAGGCCCAGCCACCAATTCTGTGAAGGTGCCATCTTGGTGGCTGAACTGGAAAGGTAAGGCATGGCAGGAAGAACTCTGAATTACTGTGAGAAATTCTGTAGCAAAGCCACGCTGACGGCTACCCCATGACACCACCCAAAGGTGGACACACAGCTTGGTACCTGTGTCATCTGTAGTGAACTATTTCTCCTTCCAGTCCCTGTCTCCTGTCCTTTGGTCTGAGTGGACATTTTCTGATCCCAAATCAAAACCACCCAGAAGAAAAAAAAATCAATAGGTTAAGGAAAGACTTTTGATTCCTAAGATCTCAAGTCTGGAAATTGTTTTAAAGATCAGGTATTTCCAGCCTGTGGCCTCCACACATGGCCAAGACAGCTATGAATGTGGTCCAACCCAGAATCCTAAGCTTCCGCACAGCGTTATGAGAATTTCCTTTTGGGGCGATGTCTTTTTGTAACTCAGATTTGGGTTCTTGAGCATGAACCTTGTGGATGACAGAATCGTGTTCCAATGACAGCAGGTTGGACACAGTCAATTCAACCTCACTCCTCCAAATAACAACCTGAGGAGAAGTGTCACGTCCAGGGTCACAGGGGTCGTTCCCAACAGATTCTCTCCCTCCCTCCTTATTCTCGGCACTACTGGGAAATCCAGACTCTAGCTCCTGCGCCAACTCATCTCCTGCGCGCTAACTCAGCTCCTGCGCCAACTCAGCTCCTGCGCGCCAACTCATCTCCTGCGCGCCAACTCAGCTCCTGCGCGCTAACTCAGCTCCTGCGCCAACTCAGCTCCTGCACGCTAACTCAGCTCCGGCGCCAACTCAGCTCCTGCGCCAACTCAGCTCCTGCGTTCACTGTTTTTTTTTTTTTTTCTTTCACTTAACTATTGTAAGAAAATAGGGATCCCACATGGCAGATCCAGAAGGATTCAGTGGAAGCAACATTTAGTCCCTTTCTATAGAGCTGGAGAGACGGCTGGGCTGTTAGGAGCCTGGGCTGTTCTTGCAAAGGACCTGAGTGATTCCCAGCTCCATGTCAGGCTGCTCATAACTTCCTGTAACTGTGGCCTCAGGGGATCCAATGCCCTCTTCTGGCCTCCAAGGGTATCTGTGCGTGCTTGTGTGTACACACACATACACACACACACACAGAGTCTTTGAAAGGGAGAAACATCTCTCCTGACTGTTGCCATAGGTTCAGTAGAAAGATCTCTGAAATAACAGCCGCTCAGAAGTTTCTAGAGCTGGAAGCATAGCTTAGTGATAGAGCCAGTGTCCAGCATATACAAGTCCCCAGCACTGTTAAAATAAAACTTAAATTTAAAAATCTGTTGCACAGTGTGCGAATAGTTGACTGCTAGATTATAAACTTAAATGTAGTTAATATAGTAAAAAATATATATTCCCAGAAATGCCTAGTTCTAGCTGTGCACCTTGGGGAAGCCACTCTTTCCTTTGTCTCCCTCAGACCAGGCTTTTGTGTGAATTAACAGTGTGTTACAGAAGAGTTTCTCAAACACTACCTGTACGGATCACCTGGAGTCTTATTGAAAATGTCCGTCGTGTCTGTAACTGGTATATGTGTGGATCCTGAGTTGGGTATTTCTAACGAGCTCCCAAGTCAAAGGCATGATTCTGCTTCAAAGCTTCCAAGTTATCATTTTGCTATGAGGTACCGTCTGGTCACCAGACAAGACAGCTAGCTGGGACCCTGAACTGTCTTCTCTGCTCCACGAGGTGTGAAGAAAGGCCATGCTGTCTCTAGAGCCTGCAGCAGGCAGCGCTGAGCATGCTCCCTCTTGATACCAGGTCTAAGGTTTGACGTGTATACCCAGCTCACCTGTGGTCTCACAGTAACCTTGAGCTCAGCACCCTTTTGTAGAATTGGCAACCACAAGGCCAGCATTTCCAAGCCCCTCCTTTAAAAGCTGGTTCTAATCTTGACAATTAGCTCCTTCAGGAAACAGCTGGGACAGGATTAGGATCTGCTATTGGAAGGACCCCTGTGATTTAAGGGTGAGGAAGCATGATAAATTCAACTGGAAAGCAGGAGCCAACTTGCATTCCCGACTCCTTTAGGACCCAGGGCAGGCACTGGCATGAACGGGGCATGAGAGAAAAACAGCACCAAACTGCAGCGAGCCAGAAAGAAACCTGAAAGCGGCAGGTTTGCATCTAGAAGAATTGCGGGAAAATCCACAGGCAGGCCAGCATCACCCGGACCTCGCTAGCTCTAATTACAAGCAGGTGGGTTCCTGGCTGGCCGCTTGAAACTGCTCTGGGTTCTTCTGGGCAGTGAGGAAGTTAGGGTATGTAGGCACTTAGGATACCTTCTTTACCAGGAAGGCAGGGTCCAGAGCTGGTGTGAGAGATGACTTCAAGCCACCCGGGACTCCTAGGGTCCTCCCTTCTTCAGAGACAATCCAGTCACAGCAAAGTTCTGAAGGGAAATGAGAAACAAAGGTGAAAGAAACCATCAGGTATGCCGGGCGATGGTGGCGCAAGCCTGTAATCCCAGCACTTGGGAGGCAGAGGCAGGCGGATCTCTGTGAGTTCGAGACCAGCCTGGTCTATAGAGCTAGTGCCAGAACAGGCTCCAAAGCCACAGAGAAACCCTGTCTCAAAACAAAACAAAACAAAAAAACCAAAACCAAAACCAAAAGCCAAAAAACAAAAAACAAAAAAAAAAACCATCAGGTGATTCTATTCCCGCCTCAGCCACCAGCACGCTCCTCCTGTCCCCTGCCGCAGCAACATACTGTGGTGTGCTGGTCAACTGGTCCCCCAGGCACCGCCTCTCCACTTGGTCCCCAGCCTAGTTACAGGCCTGGGTATTTGTGTCTGTGCACCCGGAACAAGAATGAAGGGCAGAGAGAAGCAAAGGGAGGCCGAAGGAAAAGGAAACCACAGAGAAGGAAAAGGGAGAGCCATGGAGTAGAGGCCATGAGAGGCCAACTTCTATGGTTCTCAGAATGTTCTCCCAAATCCTTCAAATCCAAGTCCTATCAAATGACCCCACTTTCCTGTGTAGCTTGATTACACGCCTGTGGTAAAACACATGAGGTCCCTACCTGACTAAAATTCAACCCTCTCCCAGGTCACCTGGCCCTCTGGGCTTATGGGGGAGGGTCTTGGCCATCTAGTTTCTAGTGTGTGTTGATCTCGTGTTTGAAGTGAAGTAAGGTTTGGGCTGTAGCCCAGTTGGTAGAGTCTTCCAAGTGTGTCACAAAGTCTCATAAGGCCAGTACCTCATAAGGCTGCACGCATGACCATGTCTGTGACATAGCACTTGGGAGTTAGAGGCCGGGAGAGCTGAAGTCAGTACACAGCCAGCATCAGCCGCACAGAACCTGGATCGAGTCAGAGGCCAGGTAGAGATGAAGGTGGCAGCCCACACACCAGGCACGTCTGCTGGCTTTCTCAGAACCAAGAGGGCATGGCCTCTCAGTGTCTCGCAGAGGACGGAGCTACCGCCCTGGGGTCCAGCTGGCATTGTGCTACTTCAGCCATGCTTGATGGGGTGGTTAGTACGGGAGCTGCTTTATGAGGATGTGGGTGTCGCAGAGACGTTTAAAGCCACAACTGCACTTCCCTTCCCTTTAAACACCTATTGGTCACCTATTCCATTTCTTAGGGCTCCTTCCTTTTACCCTCTTGATCCTCCCCAGGCACTCATCTTTGCTGCTGCCCCTCTTACATTCGAGGCACTAGCCCCATCTCTGTGCCAGAGGTGCCCAGTTACTCTACGGTGTGAGCCAGGCCAGCAAGGACCAGTGCTCCCATACACACATGTTCTCATGTTCACAGTGTGTGGAAAGAGACAACTAGCTAAGCCCAAAGCAACTAGAGAAGACCAAGAAGGAAAGACAGGCAAGCTTGGCCTTCTTAAAAACTAAAGCTTCCAGGAACACATATTTTGCTATTAAATTAATGGGAAAATTAACACAATGTGAAAAGAAGAGGTCATTAATCACTAATGATGAAAAAGCTAAGTATAATTCCTCAGAAAAAAAGGCCCAGCCAGGCCTCTAGCGAATAAAAATGTACATACTGCTTAGACCAATATTTCCACTTCCAGAAACAATCTCCCAAGAAGAAATCCATACTGAAACACGGTAAATGCACACTTACAGGTTCTTGATAAGGAGACATTGGGAATGACCTAAAACAACCAAAAGAGGAACAGTGAACCACCTATGGGCCACACCTGGTGTGCAGTCCCGACACCTGAGAGGCTCCAGCAGGAGGATCACAAGTCTGAGTCCGCCTGGGGTCTGTGTCCATTCGCTGCCTCTCTTGGAAAACAAGAAAACATGGTCAGAACATTAAGGTGCGACCTGAAGGGTCGGCATAAAGATTAGAACATGAAAACGGGCGTATGATGCCATACATGGGAGGAAGCAGGATGTGGTTATAATTGGGGAATGGCGGTAA